GAGGCTGTGCTGTGGGTTAAAGATTTCCTTTAAAAATAAGGAAGAATATTCAAACTCATTTACTCACACATGAAGCTGTATAATAGTTAAATTATATGGCCACAACACATCCTGAAGTTACACTTATTTTTTTATTCACCTCTGTGTTGACATAACTATCAGTTGAAATTGAGCTTAAGACAAAACAGCTGTGCAAAAGCTTTTGCCTTTCTAGTAGTTCCTTTAATTGTTTGCTGCTTTTTTTTTTTTAACCAGAAATTGCAGTAGCATGAAAGGGAATTCTTCCTAATGGACAACTCTTGAGCACCTCAGGACTCCTGCGAAAGATTTTGAAAGCTTGAGCCACGTTGGACTGGAATCATGTTACACAAGCCAGTGCTGGCGGAATCCCTGATCGTGTTTGTCATCGTTCTCTTTGTGCACGCGGCGGTATGGGACCGGTATTCCTGGTGTGCTGTCGCTCTCGCCATCCAGGCTTTTTATGTCCAATTCAAGTGGGACCGTCTGCTCCAGCTGGGTGGGGCCGTCTTCCAGTTCCGTACAGCTGCCAACAGTGGCCTCCTGCCAGCGAGCATGGTCATCCCCTTGCTGGGGATAGTGATGAAGGAGAGGTGCAAGTCTGCTGGCATCGTGTACTTCGAACGTTTTGGCATAGTCGTAGCTTCCACGGGCATGCTGGTTGCTCTCTTTCTGTCCGTAATAGCGGTCGGCATCACAAAACCTGTGCCGACTAACACTTGCATACTTACTGGTATTGCTGGCAGTATAATTATCTATACCATGAAGCACTCTTTGACTGTTTCAGAAGTGATAGAGGTCCTAGAAGTGCTGCTAATTTTTGTCTACCTCAGTATGATCTTGTTGTACTTGTTGCCTCGATGTTTTACTCCCGGAGAAGCACTGCTAGTTCTCGGAGGTATAAGTTTTGTTCTCAATCAGCTCATTAAACGCTCACTGAATGTAATCGAGGGCCGAGGTGATCCCATAGACTTCTTCCTTCTGGTAGCTGTCGTCGGAGTTGTCCTTCTCGGGCTTTTTTTCACTGTGCTCTTCATTTTCATGGATTCGGGTACATGGATCTCCTCCATGTTTTTCCACATGATGACAGCAGTGCTAGGCTTAGGGGTCATCATGCCTTGGCTCTACCGACTGATCCAGAGGAACCCTTTGTTCTGGCTACTCCAGTTTCTGTTTCAGACACAGACAAGAGTTTACCTTCTTGTATATTGGACCTTTTTGGCTGCTTCAGCATGTGGTGTAGTTTTCTACCAGAATGCTAAGAGATCATCTGAATCTAAAAAACACCAGGCCTCGACTATAACCAGGAAATATTTCCATTTCATTGTTGTAGCTACTTATGTTCCTGGACTAATTTATGACCGCCAGCTTCTCTACGTTGCTGCAGTAGTGTGTCTGGCGGTGTTTATTTTCTTAGAGTATATTCGGTACTTCAGGATCAAACCATTTGGTCAAACCCTTAGGCATCTGCTGTCTCTCTTCTTGGATGAAAGAGACAGTGGACCTTTAATCTTGACTCATATTTATCTCCTCCTTGGCATGTCCCTCCCAGTGTGGTTGTTCCCCAGATCTTGTGCTCCTAAAGGTACTTTGTCTGGGGCAGGAGCACTGGTGCCCTACTCTGGGGTACTGGCAGTAGGGGTCGGAGACACTATTGCCTCTGTTTTTGGCAGTACCATGGGGGAAATCAAATGGCCGGGCACAAAGAAGACCTTTGAAGGGACAATGACAGCTATTTTTGCTCAGATCATTGCTGTGGCTCTTATTCTGATCTTTGACAGCAGTGTGAATCTGAACTCCAGCTATGCCTGGATCCTGGCATCTGTGAGCTTAGTTTCTCTTTTGGAAGCTTATACTACCCAAATCGACAATCTGCTGTTGCCTCTCTACCTCCAGATAATGTTTATGGCATAGAAGCCCTTCCAGGAACAGTGGTTTCTCCCTTTCTAGAGAAAAGCAGTAATAGAAAGTGCACTGTAATGCGAGCTCAGAGCTGATCTAAACACTGCAGATAAAATTGTTTAAAAAAAGAAATGAAAAAGACCTATTTAAAAATAAAGGGTTTGGTCTTGTTTGTTTTTTTTTTTTTCCTCCCTGTTTAAAACAGCATGAATTGCTTTATGTTCTCACAGGAATACAAACACGACTGATAAAAACAGCATTTGTATTTAATAATCCAATATAAGTTTCTTTTGGCTGCTGAGAGGCAAAGGAAGAAATGAGCCAATTATAGGGGAAAAAATGAATAAGCAAACCTCTCAGATGGTGCTACCTCTGTATTGTACCAGAGCCAAAACTTGTTTTGCTGCACTGAGTCCTGGCGTCTCATGTTACTGACTGTGTGAACTTCTTGTTTCTGTATAAGCACCATTTAAAGCATGTTTTATAGTGAGAGTGGCCACAGAGAGCAAGTATGACTGCCCAAATGTATCCAGTCACCTCAGCAGGAGCCACTCTAATGCACTGCGATGCACGAACACAACTTCAAACTCAAGAGGTGGAACAGAGCAGGTGTGGGAGGTTTGAGAATGTAAGAGACTGTTCCAAGTAGTACTAACAGGAGGATTGCAGGTTTATACCTGAAAGTCTATGGAACAAGAATAATGTTTTATCTTTTTCAAGATTTCAATATCTAAATTCATTTGGAATAATATTTGACGTAGAGAGGGAAAAAAACACTAATGAAGTCACAGATAAAACTAATTACACAATCATGAAAGCAGAAAAATCTGTCCAAGTCAATAAAGTTTTCTAATATTACTGCAGTTTTCTACTTTTCACATTTATTTCAGCTAGTTATTTAATCATATAATTTATAAAAATACTTCTATCAACAAAGTAAAGCCATTTAATTCTGTCCATCTAATTAAAGTTATAGCTACCATTTTGTGGCCAAAAAACCCACGTCATTTTTAGGTATGAAACGTTTTTGTATTGACAGTCTCTTCTCACTGGTTTGCCAGGAGTCCTTGAGAACACCACATGTTAGCACGTGTCCTCCCTGCCTCTTCCCTTCCTTCCCCTGAGAAGTGTCCAGGCAGCAGATCTGCATTCCAGGACTCACAGAGTTAACTTGCAACACTTGTCATTCTTGGCAACAGTTTTGTGTGAGTCCAAGATACCTTCGAAGCCCTGAGATTGTGTCTTAGGAATGAGAATAAGACTGGGAGGTGGAGTGAAACCGGTGTTTGGGGTCAGCAGACCAAGCCAGCAAAATCAGCCCCAGAATTTAATGTTGTGTTTGTTCCCACGACAAGCCAGGACTGGAATAGCCGAGAGGCAACGTTGCCCAATTTACCCCCCTGCCTGGGCAGGGCTACTGAGATTTGCTGCTGCTTTTCCTGAGGATGTCAAAACTGTCCAGAATTGGTTTGGGTTAATACCACAAGAAGTTGTCAGATACTCTCTGCAGGAAACCAAACTCAGTAATTGTGCAAGACTGAGTTTCCTTCATATTTAACAGGAAATCCTGCAAATCCAATCCAGCCTCTTGTTTTTATTCATGCACTTAACTAGATGGTTTTGTACGTTGCACATAGTGGTGCATATAATCAGAGGACGAACTATCACTCCTCAGCAGAAGGTGCTATTCTGAATTATTAGCTCTTCTAATGGAAAGATTTGGGAAAAGCTTTAGCTACTTCCATCACGAGGCGCAGCCTGCACCATTAACAACGTAAAATAGCACTAGAGTTAAAAAGTCATTTTCCCTCCACCTCACTCACGGCTTTCAAACTGTAGAGCAGGTTTGGGAGGGGAGCAGCGGTACTTGTAGAAATTTTGAACTCAGAGTAACTGCTGTTGCCGTTGCCCAACTTGCAACTACAGCCGCCTCATCGCTCCTGGGGGAGGAATTCTCTGCTGTCCTGAGACTATTCTGCATTGCCCAGCAAAGCCCAAAGGGCTGAAAGGGAACATCTTCCCATAAAGAAGCTGAATTTGACTTTCACATCAAGAAATGCCAGAAATAGGTAAAATGCTTTTGAGAAGGATGAATCTGTAAGAACTGGGGCTCACTGTGTCAGACCTCCAAGCAGTATTAAATTTTACTACAAGGTAAGTGGATTGATTTTACCAGCCTTATATCTCAGGGTTGCCAACGCACCGATGAAATAACACCTATGCAGTTTAGATACAGGCCTAAAATTACCTCAGATGTTTCTCAACATTCCTTAGGCTTCACCTTGCTATAAGTTGGTTTGCTCTTGTGAAGATTTTGGGGATAGTAGTTTTTCTTGTGCACATTGAGAGTTCAAACCAGTTGTCAGACAACCTAGTGCTGGCCCCATTTGTGGGGAGAAAGTCACTCTGTGACACCTCAAAAGAAGAGATGAGTGGGATGAAAACAAGAATTTTTTATTTAAATGTTAGGAGTTTGTTTAGGATTTTTTTGGTTTCATAATTTTAACATGAATCTTTAAACTAATACTTGTAATCAATACACCAAGAGATCAAACACTAAGCTACAGTTTGCTAGAAATACTTAGAAGATTATAAAATTAGACTTCCCACTTCATTTTGCCTACAAGAGGATTACTTTTAAATCACTGTTATTCAAACAGTAGGACAGAGACTTTAAGAGCAAAAGCCAGCCATCTTCGCAGGATGCACGCACCCGCATTGCTGGGATCGACTCAGCCAAGGAATGAATTAGACAAGCTCTTGAGCAGAAGAAAATCCTGAGTATCTGCAAGAAGAAACACTTCTTAACCGTTGTCCTAGTCAAAGTGCCACGGTCTTTACTGGTCTATATTCAAGACCGAAGGAGTTTCCCTACAAAAAGGACGGGGCGACTATTGCCACGCTAGTCAGGCTCATGCGTCTGTCGGTGCAGGTGCATTTGGCTGTGTCAAGGGTCCTTGTTCTGAGAATAAATTAGTCTTGAGTGCTGATCTAGTGAAAGTTGCATTTCAAGGGAACATGAACGAATGCTCAGGAAGGAATATTGATCAGCTATTGACTGCAGAAGCCAATCACTAACTTCAAGTGTAGAGCGATGGAAAAGGAAGTTCGGGAGTTGGCTGGAGCCTAGGAAGTAAGGAAGAGGTAAAAACAACACTTAGAGGCCATTCCAGTTCTGTGGGTGTGAAATCACCACTGACTGAGGCACTACCAACAGAAACTGTGTGACATCAAGTCCACTAATAAAAGTTTATCCTGGCTATTGAAAAGGCTCCAGTTTCCTCACCTGCTTGTCATCTTACCAGTTCTCTTTGCTCCAGCTGGTGTCTTTGGCTTCCATCACGTGGAAGGTGAATGCATGGCGAGAAGACTCCGAGCTGTTCAGTTCACTCTTATGGACAACTTCACCGTGGATAAGAATGAGCCCACCTGTTTGAAAGAAACATCCATCCTGAGGGGTTTTTTTGTTGGTTTTTTTTTAATCCCACGCACACACTGTGAGTGCCAGCTTTAAAAAGTAAAGGAAGTTGAAAAAGTTAAAATACAGTTTTAGCTCTCTTGTTTTTCTTGAGCTGTAAAGCAGACTCGTTTGGGGGTTGGTTTTACCTTTACTTATAGGCAGAGGTACGAACTGGCTGTCATCGTAGGCTCGCTCTGATCCTACAAACTCTACACAGGTTGAGGCACCTGAAGGTGCACGGACCATTCTCCGGGTAATTCCGCCTGTGAATCCACAGAATAAGCAAACACACATAAAAATTAAACTGCTAGCTACATTCTGCACAACAGAGGAACAATATCTGTGATTTCTCTTGGCAGTTACAGGAACTTTCTGTGATAATATATTGAATTTTTCCTTAGTAATTTTGGGTGGGCTTTTTTAATTAAGCCAAGATCTAGGATTTTCCAACCATGGCAGAAACTGGTAAACAACTGCCTTTTGTTTGCCTTTCTGTGCGTTGCAACATAGCTCTTCAGGAGCATAAATAGTCACAGCCAACCTTTGGTCCATTTCTCCTTTCTGTAAGAACACAAATTGCAACCAGAGTGCAGCTGACTCTGGAGTCGGAGGGATGAGTGCCTTACAGGTCTTAAGAGCACTAGGATTACTGTGACTTACTGGTGTGAGAGCCAGGAATGAACCACAGGCAGCCGTTCTCCTGCGTGGCATCTTCCAGGGCAATCCAGAAACCCAGGACTCTGCCTAGGGGCTCTGTGTGCAGGAAGGTGGCATCCTGGTGCGGGGTCACTGCAGCGAGACACCATCATCAGGGTCTGTTAACATAATTCAGTCTTGATACATTGATGGAAGTCTTGTTCTCCCTGACTTCCCTGCCCACCCATCTGCCATACACAGAAAAATTCCACTTTTCAGCCTGCTGCAGGTGTAAAAGTAGCTCTTTGTTCAAGGTTTGGACAACAAAACTCACAGGCATAGACTGATTCTGAATAATTTCTGGTAATATTCCTTTCCTAGAGGAGCATTATCTGCTGTATCATATAGAGAGAACACAAATCTCACCTTCGCCACCTATGCCAGGTTGCTGCAAGGAAAGAAAGGCGACGTGTGAATAGTTTCACAGCATTTGACCTAACAGAGTCTTATTTCTTGGGTGACAAGACAATGTGAATTACTGTACCTTGAAGATATACATGCTTTGCACAACTACTGGTCTCTCAAGGCCTAGTTTTCTTCCCAATTCCTGCAAGAAAACTTTCCAAGATTTACATTTCGCTGTTTTCTGCACACTGTAAAGCATTATTCTTGGAAGAGATCTCTATTTTCCTATCTATTTTACTATCCTTGGCAGTCTAGAAAATGAAGATTAATTACTCCACTTTTTTTTTTTTTGTCTCAGCCCATTCTAGGAGACAGTAACAGCTCACCTGCACCTTGGAAGAGTGGGTGATTTGCTTGAAGACAGGATCGTAAGCATGTAAAGCTAAGGGGAAAGAAAAGGCTCAAACTGAAGATTTCATTAACAGAGGGGAACTTGGCAGCTCCCAGTGATGAGCTGCAGAGGTGACAGCCAAGCAAGATAAATTGCACCTAGAAACTTTCATCCCTCCCAAGAGCGGATATATGTGGCTTATCACCCCCACGGTGATACAACACTTGTGGATTTGTACCATCTTCTTCAGAGACCAAGAACACAATTGCTTACTGGCCACAAACTGCAGCTATATAAAAAATAGTCTGTAACAGCAAACAAGAAATTAATATTATGTGATTAGGTATTACATTAGCCAAATGGTGACACAACAACCATGACCCTGAGGCACATAGGCAAATTCACCCTTTAAAAAACACAATTCTTACCAAAAAAGTAATTACTGCAAAAATGAGCTAGGACTTAGCTTTGGTGCCTGCCACAGAGGGCCACAGCCTGGAGGTCAGAGCTGTTCTGGCACAGACACTTGCTACAGCTCGGCTTGGACAAAACCATAAAGCAAAGGCTAGGAATCATGTCTCTGTCTCATCATGATCAAATCTGCCAGGAGGAGCCAGGACCACGTCCAGCAGAGGCTGCCCCCAAGCAAGGGATGAGGCGAGACTCAATCCAAAATAAGTCTGGAGAAGCCTTTTGAATTGTTAAGTTGCTGCATCAGCAGAAATCTATAGTTCTTTTAATATCCCCAGAAGAAAAGCTGAAGTACAACGCAATTGCAGGGAGGCTGGAAGGGGGAGAGTGTTTTTCTGAAAAAAAAACAAAGAACTGAAAACCCTCGGTACTGAATTTCCAAGTTTAGTAAAGTTTAATCTGAACAAAGTTCACGTGTTTCAAGATGTGGTAAATCTTATTCTTGTTTTCCATGCACTGGTCAGAACCAAAAAGGATCAAAATGCAAGTTTGGTAGCTGAGAAAGAGGAAATAGATCAAACAAACTAGTAGGAGTAACAAAAAAGACACCAAAGGAGAGAAGACAGGTTTAGAGTTGGTAACCCCCTCCTGCACAGGGCACAGAAGACAGTTTGATCTGTACTCAGTGTGGCCAGTCTCAGGTGGTAAATTTCTTAGAGAAGTCTCTTATATAGAAGAGACAAGGGCTGAAGTCCAAACTTTCACATGTGAATGATTCTGAGCTATGCAGGGCTGAAAAAAAAATTTTTTTGGAAAAGCATAAGGGAACATTAAGTCCTTGGACAGCCAAGAGCGAGGGGAAGCACAGAGAGAATTGCAGACAGTGACAGAGCCATATGAGAAAGAGCAGGCTAATGTGTAGAAATCAACTTCAAGAATTTAATACAGAAACCCAAAGGAAACCAGCCCAGGGTTGCAAAGACAGGAGCTGCGTGGCCACAATGGCAAGAAGAGATAAGGTTTGTGCTATTTGATGCTGTTGTCCCCAGGAGGCCCAGAGAAGCAACATAAGAGGGAGGAAGTCGCTGCTCTGCTCAGACAGGTTTCAATTCAGATGGCCAAGGTCATTCACAGTGAGTAGGTCTGGAGAAACTGAAATGTGGTCTAAAAACCATCTTCCTTTTATTCATCCCTGTCAAAACCTTTAAACATACCGTGGCCAATCTTGCTGACTGATTTCTCCTTTGGAATTAGAAAGTTACCTATGAAACAAAAGCAGAATTTAACATCGTTTGCAGAGCAGGAATCGTCCCTAGAGCTGGAAACCAGCCCCTGATCCCTCATTCACCTTCTGTCCCCCTCCCTGGGGCTAACTCAGGCCAGCACTTACCTTTCTCATCCAAAACACCTTTCTCAAAGAAGAATCTAATCTTGTCTCCACTGGTTAGGAAATAATCCGAACTACCCTGCCATGGATAAGAGCCCAGTAAAGATAGTATTCTTGTAAAAATGTGCACATGAACCTTCAATCAAAGCATTACTACTCACCTGCATCTTTTTTCCATCAAGCCGCAGCATAAACAAAACATCAACAGAAATCACAACACTGTTGATTAAGACGTTATAAGAACTCCTCACGTAAAGTCTACCTTTGCTTTTGTAGGTTGCCTGGAAAATAACCTGCTTTCTGTCTGCAGAACAAGTCCAAAGTGATCTGCAAACACTGCTTGGAGTTTCAAGGACTGAAAGCACAGCAGAACTGCACGCATTCTCTCCTCCTTTGCCCTCTCATAAAACCACCACCAAACACTTGCAAAACCCTGGAGAGCAACTGCCTCTCAGCATTACATTGTTAGGGAAAAAAAAGGGGGGGGTCGTGCTCCCCCAGAGTGAACCCTGAGCAGCTAATCTGCCTTTTCCTTCTCCTTGCAGCACTCCAACAGGGACAGCCCTCCCCTTCTCAGTACCTGCGCCTGGAGCTGCTCCTCTTCTTTGGTGGAGAACGCGGTGCGGCAGTGCGGCGGCACTTCCATCTCCGCTATGATTCTCTGGATCTGGTTCCTCATGCTGTCACACTCCTCTGTGGTGAAAAAATGCTCCAGGACAAGGAAGCCATCTTCATGAAACTGGAAAAGATGGGGTGACTGCTCTTCTCCAGAGCCCTCAGGGGAAGCAGCACAAGGCAAGAGAAAATTGTTCTGTCCCTTCGCTGTGCCTCAGTTCAGTGTGAAAAACATCCCAGCTTTGGCTCTGCAAAACCTGCTCTTATTTTTCATTTGAAATTTTTGATTTCAGGAGGTGTTTGTACTGTAAAAAGAAAATCCACTAAGAGGCTCTGGCTCTGTGCAGTTAAGAACAACGTCTCTCAACCCCTCAGTTCACAAAGCAGAAACGATCTAATCAAGCCTTTGTGGCTTAAGGATATCTTATCTTAGTTGCACAATCAGCAACTATTCAATTACAAAGTCTGCTAACACAAACAGAGCAGTCATACCTGTACCCCAAATAAGAATGAGATTTCTTTACAAGCTGAAAAGTGTTGTTTTCACTAAGGGAAAAATCCCTGGGTGATTTCTCACAGCTGATTACACAATCTCTTACGAAATGAAGAAAACCGTTGGCACTACTGTTTCTTTATATAGGATACCCTGGAGATTATCCTCTGACAGGCAGACTTTGAGTTCAGGGATAAGAGCTGAGCAGCAGAGACAGAAGGGCACAAGAGAAATTCCTCCAAGGGCTCTGTGGGACAAGTCACCCTCCAGAAGAGCTTGTAGCTGCAACTGCATCCTCACACACTCAAAATAAACGCAATACAAACAGCTGAGAAGAATATAAAGTGTTTGTTGAGCAGATCTTCACTAGACCTGATGACAGGTTAACTAGCAGTGACCATAGCTTACGAGCAGCGTGAGCTGCCTGCACTACAGCCACGCAGTGCAGCGCCTTACCTTTTGGATCTGGTGCTGGGTTACAAACGCCATCAGGGTCAGAAGTTCCAGGATCTCACCAGTAACACCACGAAGCCACCCAGGCACTGCAGGGCAGACTCCCCGCCTCTTCACGTGATCCTTTTCCCAGCGTGTGATGACAGCAAGTACTGGGCAGCCGGACGGTTGCGCAGCCCGCTAAGCTGCCTCTCGAGGAATTTTGTTTGGATCTCTGGTAATTTGTTCTTGGCGAGGACATTCGGAGCTGCAGAGTTTTGTTTTGGCTCTCAGTGTTAACACAAAGTGTACAAAAACATTCTACATGAGTGCAATCACAAACTCAATTTACCTCTTAACTCCCAGGAGGAATCATTGCTTTAATTAATAACCCAGATTAAAAATAAAATAAAATAGAGCAGTTAAGATGGTAAGAACAGCATGAAATAAAATAAGGGAGATAAGATTAAAGTCAGATTAAAAGATTTACAAATTTTGAAACAAATTAAAAGTAGCAATTCAGGCTTCTGCAGAGCCTTGCTCAGTCAGCAAGTCCTGCTGGCACTTCAGCACCTCAGGGGGACTCCAGTGACCCAGGAGAAGCCAAGCGTCAGACTAAAAGGTGTTAAAGCTAGAGCTTTTACTAAGAGTTTGGTACAGTTCATAGCAAATCTATCTGCTATGTTCATTCACAGCTGCTTTTCAGTGATGTACACCTTCACCTGCTCAGTTCTCTTTCCTGGAGATCCAAATACGCGTGTAAAGAGGTGATCCCAAAGCCACAGCTCAAACCAGAGAGACAAAATGCAGAAACTACATCAGAGAGGCAGGAGAGTGGAGAAGAGAAGACAGCCCGGCGGTGGCGCTCCCAGCCAACACATCCCTCCCATTGCAGGGAACCCCTGGGGAAAGTTTTTTCACTCCAGAGAAGAGGAAAAAAAAAAAAAAAAAAAAAAAAAAGAAGAAAAAAAGTGGCTCTTGCAGAAGGCACGGAAAACATCCTTTCAGCAGCATTCCACCAAGAAATAACATCATAAGGGCAGTTTTACACAGCACTCGCTTAGCCAAAAGAAAACCCAACAAAATGGAGCGCAAAATGCTCATGGGAAGGTGTTTACTCCCAAGCATATTTGCTAGCAACCAAATAATCCATCTTAAAGTGATGTTGTTTGAAAAAAAAAATGAAGTCTTCTATCAGGGAGTCATATCTTTTTTTTTTTTTTTCCTCCACATTTTAACTGGAGAGCATGTCTTTTTGAGACATTACAGCTTGTTTTCAAGCTCTTCTCCACACAAGAGGATATGAATCAGGTAGTTTAAAAAGCTAAATTTTGCCAGAGACTTTGATCACTAGGCTACAGCTGTGGAAGGGAAATAACCTGCCTCCAATGCTGCAAAAGTCAAAAAAATAATCAAGAAGTTCCTCCTTCCTGTTAACAGACTCTAACCAACTGATAGAGCTGCAATATTTTTAAGGAGGATGTGTATCCAGTGGGGAAAAACCCTGCTGTAGCTATTAACTATTGCCTGTAAGTGATCTCGTGAGGATCCACCTCACCCTTCTCTGGGAGGCAGCAATCCTCGAGAAACACCTTCTACACACGCTTCCGTGACACTGCTCAGTCCATCCCGGTGTTACCTCTGTCATTCATAACATCATGTATTTCTCCAGTCATTTTTATTTCCAGCAGTTTAGCACATCATCTCCTCCCCTCCCCACCTTACGCACACGCAGTGACTTCAGAAGCTGTTTTAGTTTGTAAAGCTACAGCTTTCCTGTTCTACGGGCTGTTTTGAGCCAACTGAACAGCAGCTCGCAGCACACGACGCGGCAAGTACCAGAAGGGAACAGTTCCATGAACAAGGAGAGGCAACCCCTCTTGGTTACAGCAGCATTCATCAGGAGTCCTCCAGTTCTTTGCCACTGCAGCCATGGCCATATATTAAGTCTTAGAAAAGATCTCTTCAGCAAGAGGAAAACCATCCCCACCACATAACGTCCAAAAAAAGTCAAAGGATGTCATCCTTGTAAATACCTTCTCTTCCAGTAAGTTTAAATAAGGAAAGTAGAAAGTACTCAGACAAAACTGGGAAATGACCCCCTTTTCCTTCCCTTCCTCCCATTCCAAGAGCTCTTTTGCAGATTATTACACAACATTTTCTCCTTCCAGATCCACAAGAAAACTGCACTTGAAGCAAACTCCACTGGAGGCTGCCAAAGCCCATCCCGTGTCTGTATGTGGTACAGGAGCAAATGGCACCCGGAAGATGGACAATCCTGCAGGCAGGCAAAGCCGAAGTGCTTCAAACGACTTTTTGACTGACACCATTATCCTAATTTCCTCCTCAATTCCTATTAAAACCCTTTGGAGCCAAGCCAGCTTACCAGTTCTCCAGAGCCGGTTTAAGCAGCTCAGTGCTCACCAAGACTGCTGCCAGGGGAGCTGCCAGGGTTATTGGGTACGCAAAAATTTCAGCCAGATCTCTTACTCTCCTCTCACCTCTCCTGAAGTCTTCAATGTGATCGGCAACAAGTGATAGAATATTTAATGAGAAACAAGGAGCGGAGGAACAATAATAACCATGATGAGTATTTAAATTGTATTCAATAGTGTATTAGTATTAAAAAGGGCATTTTGTTTTCCTTGTATTGGCTGTCCTTTCTTTCACAGTATCAGAGGCCCCAGAAATGCTATTTTCCATCAAGAGAATTCTCATCGTCATCAACATGTGAGAACAATCAGTTCTCTACCCTTGGGATCTTTCCCCATCACTCTATTAAAGTCTTGCAAGGATCCAGCACACACCAGTTTTCTTTGACAGTACCTTTCCTTTTTTCCTTTTGCTCAGCTATTCAGAGAGCTGGTAAATCCTTGCCAAAACGAGCTGTGGCCCAAGCGAGCCTCAGATGACAAGGGCCATTTTATCCTCTCCTTTCTTGGTTCAGTCTTGCTAAGCATTTCACTGAAACTTATCAAAGCCAGTAAGCAGCATCACAGACTACCACCTTCTACCATTTCAGCCTGCTCACATTTTCTGTCACTGTAGTCTAGACAATGTCACTGTGGTCAAGTAGTTTGGGACTAAGGGAGCAAGGGAAAGCAAGAGAAATACCTTTCTGCATATCAGATGAGCTGCACAAACTCAAACTGTCTTTGAAAGTTACAGGCTGATTCTCTGTTGCACGTCGTGAGCATGCTGAACTAGAGGAGACAGCATCTGCCAGCATTTTCAGTTGAAAATACAGTGCATGGAGTAGGCAGACAGCTAGGAAACATTTAAATAAGTTGTTAGCAGCAGCTAGCTAAAGACATTTCTATGGCAACAGGCAGTTTTCTCCACTGACTCCAGTGCTCATCCCTCTCCTAGAGAAGGAGAGCACAGTACAAATTTCAAAAACCCAAATGACCTTTTACAGGTCTACATAGATAATACTCCCACCAACAGTCTTATATTCAGCAAGGTAAACTGTTTCAGACATTTGTTGAAGTGATGGTGAAATATGTAAGGCAGTCCAGGCTTGTCACTGAGCAGGACCTCTTTCACTGTACATCTTTTCGCTTATTCATAAAGGAACGTCATAATCTACAAGGACACATCATAATCCACAAGGACTCATGTGATGAGTAAAAACAAAACATAAAATAACCCTACACAGTATCTGGGAATTATATTCGTCTTCTGAAAAGCAAAGTGGTGAAAGGCCAAGTGCCTTTGCCTATAGAAATCTTAAAAGAAAGCAGACATAAAAGGAAAATGCAAATTAAAAATTAAAACTTTTATTCTGTTAAAGTGTCCAGTCTTACAAGTCTTTCAAGAGAAAACAATAGCAGCCTTCAGTGCTTAAGGTGGAGGTGCTGTTGATCCGCTGCCCAAACAATCCCACATACAAAGTGAATGTCATGATTCTGAAATGTTACATCAAGTTGCAGGTCTCGGATGCCAAACCACAGCCCTGCTCATGCATTTATGAAATGGGAGTGAACAATGTTTAAGCCATGAGTAGTGTCTTACTTAAATGGACACATCTGTCAACTCTAAAAGATGACTCAGCCTCATTAGCCCCCTTCTCATTAAGCCTCCTCTAGGAAAAAATTGCCCCATTGTTCAATAAAATCCCTTTAAAGGAGACAGAGGGAAGAAGGGAAGGGTAATTCCAGAAAAGCTAAATTAAGCCTTTCTTTGTGTGAATTCAGACAATGTTCACATTTGCCATTGGGGTCCAGCAATTCAAGTACAGCTCCTTTTGAAAAGAGATTTCAGAGATGAGATTCCTGGAGAACTTCATGCTGCCAAAGAAATTGAATATTAACCTACCCCTGCTGCTGGAGGGAAAAAGTCTCAGTCAAACAGTACTCTTGTCCAGATCCGCTTCATGCACTGTTAGAGTGCGGGTAGGACAGAAAACTCACTCTGTTTTGGCATTTGTGTCATGAAAGCACAGGTTCCACTGTGTGGCCAACAGTGGGGGGAAAAAAAATTTTCCAACTAAAATACAATAAGGAGGGGAGGGGGAAAAAAAAAGTTTAATTTAAACAGTAGCTTTGCTAGTTAGCATTCACACAGCCTTACCTTAGGTAACATTTCAGAGTAGATGACTCTACTGTTTACGGTATGACAGTATCGTTCGTCAGCGAGCAGTCACACCAAAAGTTCAGAATCTCTCCGTGGTTGAAAGAAAAAAGAAACAGAGGGAACAGATGTCTTCGGGCAGAGACTATTACAAACACATTTGAAGAAGCAAGTGCCTCTGTGGAAGAAGATACGTTAATGTATCTCTAGAGAAGGCACGGCTATTAATGAGAGGGGAAAAAAAAATAAATTACTCCTCTCCTGAATGAAGACTAATACAAATAAAAAAATCCAAAGAACTCAAACCATGTGAGGCCTTTTCCAAAGCAGAAAAAGGTAAAAGGAAACACAATGTCACAGCTGTTGAATCAATAATATTTGAAAATATTTTCCATACACCTCATCCTCTGTAAAGAATGCGTTACTGTTCTCAAAATTCCTAGAATCATTTGTGAGAGAAGGGAAAAAAAAAAAAAACAACACCT